AGAAAATGAAGGAAGAATGGAGCAGAGGAGAAGGGGAATCAGTTAATGCAGTCCATACGTGGCCTGCAATACCTAACACATTTATTCTCTGGACCTCCGCAAAGCACATTTTCAGAGCTCTGTTCCAGACCCCTGGGTCCTCCAGGGGTCTGTTGGTTAGTATCCCTGTTTATTGTATCTGAGGCAAACTGGAAACTATGTTTATAATGTACTGCCCTACACAGTACTTATTAACACTTGAAATGTAAGTGGCTCACATTGAGCTGTGTCACAATATTACACACAATGATTTCAAAGTCCAAGGATGAAGGAACCCCATTGCCACTTTTTATGCTGAAGTCATGCTTTTCTGCTGTCATGACAAAACTCTGTAACTAGGGAAACTTATAAAAGAAAGCATTTAACTGATTCCAGAGGGTTAGAGTCCATGACTATCACGGCGGGGAACATGGTGGCTGGCAGACATGGCACTGAAGCAGTACATGAAAGCTTACATCTCAATTCTCAAGTACAAGGTGGAGAGATCTAACTGGGAATGGAGTTGGCTTTTGAAACCCCCCAAACAAAGTTACACCTCTTAATCCTTCCCAAACAGTTCTACCAACTGGAACCAAGCGTCCAAACATAGTGCCTCTGGGGGTCATCCTCATTCAAACCACCATGGTTGATTACTACTTTGAAATAATTGTTCAGAGATGTGATTTAAATAAGCAACATCTATTTGTTTTTTTAAAGGTGGTTGACAGAAAGTTTTAAAGTATACGTGTGGTTTGCATTGTACATTGACTAAAACTAGGCAAAATATTTTGGGTAGCAATATTTCACAGCTGATTTTATGCTCATCATAATTCATCATGACAGGAGACACACATATCTATCTTATGACTAAAGGTTACAAGTTTGTACATTTTGTGACTGGTAATATTTACTGTCTGAGATTACTGGTTCTTTTTTCTTTTTTAAGATTTATTTATTGATTATGAATACAGTGTTCTGCCTGCATATATCCTTGTAAGCCATAAGAGGGCATCAGATTTCATTGTAGATGGTTGTGAGCCACCATGTGATTACTGGGAATTAAACTCAGGACCTCTGAAAGAGCAGCCAGTGCTCTTAACCTCTGAGTCACCTCTCCAGTCCAAGATGATCAATTCTTTAAAGACTTTTCAAGTAATGCTGCTGCATCCCTTGGTAAGCCTTGCTTGAATAGGTTGTTACATCAGGAGTTGTACTTACATTTCTACCTTCAGAACTTTTTCTTTCTTGAGCTTCCCTTCTGCTATCATAAGGCTTGGGGTGCTAAGTCAGCTAACACAGCAATGCCTGTGGGTGCAAAGGTCGGTAAAGCTCATGGAGATAAACCACACTAGGGGACAGCATCTGCTTTATTGCTTGTAAGCAAACACTTAAATAGGGGAAGCCAGGCAACTGTGATTGGTTTGCATATTAGCACAGACTGGATAGTGAGCGCTCATACCACCAGGGTCTCTATGTGGAAAAAGCGCATTAAAGGAAATGGGGAGAGTGTAGACTTATCCACAGGCCAGCTTCTGACTACTCCCACAACTTCACTGTTCTGAGTTCCAGAGCATGGTGTGCCACCCTTCTTATCTAGAAGCACAGTGTATCAAGTATTTTTCCCACATTAGGGCGTTTTCTCCTGCAGTGGCGAATATCTCTGAAGAGAAGGTAGAAAGAATATAGGAGCCAGATGAAGGTGGGGTATTAATGAGTTTCACTAGACCCAAGATAAATGATAAATGGGTGTTTTATTGGGGAACAACTTACACAGGTAATAGTAAAGAACCACCAGCAGCATTCGTGCCCCAGAAGATGCAGTCTCTGTCCTTCGGCCATAGCCAAAGTGGTGTGGCCACTAACACAAATTTACTGGCAAGGTGAGATGCTATTACAGTCAGATGAGGAGGGGTGTAGTGTGTGACAAGACTTTTCCTGGGGAGACACAACACACCAGTCTTCTCACTCCAGACCAAAGTATGGATACTACTAAAATCCAACTTGGTGAACCAATGAGGGTTTGTTTTTTTGTGTGGGGGGTCACTATTTACAGGAGTATGGATGAGGAGTTAAGAGTGTCCTTTCCAGGTGACTCAGTTGAGGTAAACCTCTTCTGGGCAGTTGGTCTGGTCCCAGAATCTTCTTTGTAGCATTCTTTGCCAGAGAGTAACCCTAGGCTACTTGGAGTGTTTACTCTTGCGAAGAAAGGGCCTAAAGAATGTGTTCAGTTTCAGGGACTTCCTGAAGCTGTTTTGAATTATTTCCCTGATGTCTTAAGGAGATTCCCTGCAGGGTGGGGTATTACAGTCTTGGAGGAAACTGCTACAGAATATTGACAAGGTTTGAGAACCCATGAACTCACAGCATATGGTGTTTGCCTGCACAAGATGAATCCAGGCAAATCTAGGCACAGATGGGGAGGTACTCCCTAGACCCCATCTCTCCCTGAGGCATTAATAGAGTAGAAGTCATCAGTATGCAGGTGATGGATATTTGAGGGGTACATTTCAGAGTGAAAATGTGGGGGAACACTAATAAAGGAGGCCATCAGAGGAGGCTAAAATGGATGAGAATATTAACGGCCAGACTCGAGAAGGCAAATGGCAGATCTCAGGCAGCCAGACATTACAAGATAGGACACTCATCAATGCCAAAGACTGCTGAGGGTTCAGGTAAAACACAGGCTAAAAAGAGTCTTGTGTACTTCCTCAGCTAAAGCCCGATTCTACATAAAGGTGGAAACAGTAACCATGTGTGAAGGAAGTGAATGAAAAAAATGAAGAGGAGGAGAACATAACTACTCCTAAAATATGGAGAAGATTTTTAGTGTAGATTTTAGGAGGGGAGCAGGAAGATGGAATAGTCCAGGCTGAGCATGGACATCAGACTAAACCAGACCATGAGACGAGACGAGAGGCAGGAGGGAGAGCAAGAGAGAAACTGCCAAATAATGTGGCCAGCACAAATGACAAAGAGAGTAAATGGCCAGGTAACCAAAATGGCCGGATCATATAAGCAAGGGCAACCCAGCCCCTGGGCTGGAGAGGTTCAGGGTAGGAGGTGGGGTGTGCCAGCCATACCCGGCAGGTAGGGACTGAGGGATGCTGGTAGAACCTGGCAGCCAGGTCTGTTTTTGGTATGTTAAATAGGCACCTCAGTTAGCCTTTTGTACTGGGTTTGTGATCTAACAGGAAGGAATTCAAACTGTGCAGCAGAACCTTAGAGACACTGGGCTTCTGTCCCTGGCCACAAGGTTTTCCTTGTGGGAACATTAACCAATTTATACCCAAGAGCAAGATCAACTTTAGTTTTTCTACCCTGGCTCTGGGTTCCTTATAGCTGAGTTCCTCTGTATCTATGGGGGATTGGTTCTTGACCTCCCCCCCCCGATACTAGTGCACTCACAAGTCTCTCTATAAAACTGCATCCCCCAATTAAAATATCTTTATATGATTTATATTAAATATCAGGTAAATGCTATGTAAACAGTTTTATGCATTGCTTAGAGAATGGCAAGGAAAATGTCTGAGGGCTGGAGAGATGGCTCAGCATTTAAGAGCACTGGCTGCTCTTCCAGAGGACCCAGGCTGCATTCCCAGCACCCACGCGGCAGCTCACAGCTGTCCCAGTTCCGGGAAACTTTTGCATTGGGCATGCACATAGTGCACAAAAATACATGCAAGCAAAACAGTCACACACATTAAATGAAATCTAAAAGAAAGATGCCTGCCTGTACATATTCACTACAAATGGAATTTCATTTAAAAGTGTGCTTGACCTGCAGATGACAAACACCTTTATTAGATAACAGCCTAAGAGTTTTTGGATTTAGTAAACATTGCAAATGGGCAATTACATAATAAACAATGCTTGTACAGTAAGACAGTATTTTATAGTGCTTCTTAAAGGAGACCGTGACTTTAAAATACTGTCCCTGCTGGGGGTTGGTAGTGCACGCCTTTAATCCCAGCACTCGGGAGGCAGAGGCAGGTGGATCTCTGTGAGTTCGAGGCCATCCTGGTTTACAGAGCAAGTTCCAGGACAGCCTCCAAAACAACACAGAGAAACCTTGTCTCGAAAAAACAAAACAAAACAAAAAACTATCCCTGCATAGTAGGAGAGTCATAGCCGCAGTATATGTCTTAAAATCACTCTTTTGTTCCTTTATATCATGTCTCAATTCTGCATATTCTATGGGCTGCAAGTCTCCACCTTTTGCTTTACTAAGAACAGGAACTACCTCCGCATTAAAAAGTAGGGGAAAACGCATATAAACCGGAAAGATGTAAGAGTTTCCAAATCAGGCAGAGTATGAAAATGGACAACCCAGCCGGGCGGTGGTGGCGCATGCCTTTAATTCCAGCACTCAGGAGCCAGAGGCAGGCAAATATCTGTGAGTTCGAGGCCAGCCTGGCCTGCAGAGTGAGTACCAGGACAGTCAGGACTGTTACACAGAGAAACCCTGTCTCGAATAACAAAACATATAAAAACAAAACAAAAGGACACCCCAGATCATGCATTAAAATAAGACGCTGCATTACTGCCTTAACTCCCAAAGCAGAAGCTGTGGAAAGGGACCTAGACAGGTACCTGAATAAGTGCCTAAGGTGATGTAAATTCAACTCCTCTGTGGCCCTTTAACAAATAAGTAGAAGAGGCACCACTGAGCTCTCTGGATTGCGGATTAACTCTTAAATTTTGGGTGGTGCCCAAGGTCTTTTGAGGACTCTGCTATGCTATTTTTAGGAGGGTGAGCAGCAGACGCCCTGCTTTCCCGGGGTTCTCTGCGTCCAGGAGGCGTGGCCCCTTCATTGCGTTTCCCCCTTGGCAGGAAACGCCCTGCACTTCTCTAAAGTGTCAGTTGCTGCTAGTCCCAGTGGCACCTCTGGGAGCGCACACCCTCCTGGACAGCGGGTTCCTTCTCTGGTAGTGTCCCTCTCCAGGAAACCAGGGGTGGAGCGTCCCTCAGGCCACGCCCCTAGGTCTCAAGCCTCTGAACTTTCCCGGAAGCTGATAGTCTTTCCTTGGTGGAGCTGATTGGCTGACTGCAATCTTGGGCACCGCGCGGGGTTTTCTGGAGTTGTTTTGGACTGAGTTTGCATAAAAGAGTATGGCTAGAGAGTGTCTTCTTCTCCGCGAGCTGCTGGGCCCTCTGCACCCGGATAAGGATGGCGAAGAGGAGGAGTGTGTACAGGAGGAGGAGGGGGACCAGGATTTGGAGTTTGTGGACGCCGAGGAGCTCTGCAGTGGCGGCATCAGGGCGGGCAGCCTCCCTGGGCGCATCCGAGGTGAGCGAGCGCCCGCGGGGCCGGGTTTGCAGAGTTGGAAGAAGTACTTTCGATTCTTGCTGCCCGGCGCGGGCACCCTTTGCAGTTGACGGGCAGACCTGTGGCATGGCATGGTTGTTTCTCCGTACTTAACATGGAGTAGTAATAGTGATAATGGCAGTGACTAGGCGCACATACTATGCGTTCAGTAGCTGGACGGTGGTGGCATACGCCTTTAGTCCCAGCTCTGGAGGGAGTCAGAGGCTGGCGCATCTCTGAATTGGAGGCCAGCCTGAGTTCAAGGACAGCTGGGACTGTTACACAAAGAAACCCTATCTCGGGAAAAAAATAAAGTTTGCTTTTGACATATGTCATCTCAGTGTTAACAGTTGTTGGAAGTAGTTTTACAGGCGAGGATATAGAAATTGTGCCCATATTCCCACCCAATAACAGAATCTTTTAGTTATTACACTGCTCTGCCTGAATCAAAGGCTGAGTTGTTTTTTAGTAACCTTGAGAAAACACATGACCACACACACACAAACATGCACATATATACCATGTACATACACACATCCATACATTTACACATACACATACATACACACATAACTTACAGACATAAATATACACAATACACATGTATACACACATTTTATACATTCACAATGCACATACATACACACACATACCCACACACATAACCACATGCACACACCTTCACACATATATACACACATACACATCACATTCACACACATACACTCATGCACACCCACATACACACATGTCCATACATTCACATCATGCATATTACACACACATACAGTCATACACATACATGTACACATGCCCACACATACATACAAGCACATTCTATTTGCATGGTCTAGTACAATAATAGTTGCTGACCCTGTGTGGCATCTGACATTGGCAACTGAAACACAGCCAGCTGAATTTTAAGTATTAACTGAATTTGATTTTAAATGCAAAGGATTACGTGCTGATGGAAGCACAGCTGACTATTCTGGCCAAGCATTTGGTCCTGGGACACCCCAGGAAGAGCAAATGGTGAAGTTTCCTTCTCAGTGGAAACACTACTCATGAATTAGGCAGTCATTGTCTAGTCATAGAAATACCCATGCTGAGTGCTTAGAAGGAACACCAGACAGGACTTGGAGAAGTGATATTCATGAGATTCAAACAAGGCTTTGCTGAAGAAGGGAGCTAAACTGAGCTCAGTAGGAAATGTCGGGACCGGCCAGGAGAAGCAGCTCACCTGAGAGAGTGGAATAGCTTTATGCAAAGGTAAATTCTTAGACACCTACATAAAGGCCAGTATTGGCTGAGGCAATGGTAGTAGGTAGACTGGATTTAGAAGAGGCGATCCATGGCTCGCACCTGCTTACTTCCAGAATGCATGCATGGAGCATTGTCCTATTGTAGACAGGGAGTCAGAGAAACAGGCAGGCAGACGTGTTAGAGGTCGCGGGTGGATGTCTGTATGGGGTGCTTCCTGTGTGTATGTGTGAGGGCGCTAAAGAGAGGTGATTATTCGGGGAAACGTTTGTAAATTTCCCGTTATCTTTACCTTCATCTTCCCCCTTCCTTTAGTTTCTATCCCTGATGAGAATACGAAAGAGAGATGCACCGTGCAAGGACGTTTCCCGCTCATAGGTCCTTGGTGGCGAGTGAAGGTTCGGGTTGCAAAGCCTGGGCGATCCAAGGTCTACCAAGCTCAAGGATTTCCTTCCTACTTCCTACAGTCTGATATGTCACCATCTCATCGAAAAAACATCTTTTCACTGTTTCTTAAAGAATGTAACTATGCACTCAGAGATGAATTTCTAAAATGGGTAGAGAAAGTGTCAGGCTATGAGAATCTAAACTTTGAAAATCTGCGGGAGACATTAAGGAACTTTGGTGGAAAAACTGAAGAGAAAAGTGAAAAGCAGTCCACACAGAATGAACGGAATGAGATGAGATTGCTCGTGGAGGAATCCTGTAAGTATGGTTTTTGGCGGTGAATTTTTGTGTCATCCAGACATTGAATGGCTGGAAGTATTGCAGCTGTTAATCTCTGCCCTAGCTTGCATGGGACAAATTGAGCCTCTCTAATCAGAAAGTCTGAAATGCTCCATAATATAAAACTTTCTGAGCATAGGCATAATACTACAGGTGATGTTTTCTCATTTATACATATGAACTCGGTCTCATCCCCAAAAATTTAAAAATATTCTTACAGTATTATTTTTCAGCCTGTGTGTTTAAGGTGTATAAACAAGTAGGTTACATCCCAAGCCTTCTTATAGGTAAATATTCTAGAATATGAAAAAAAAATCTCCAAGTATTTCTCCAACGCATTTCAGATCAAGGACACAACATCTTTTCACAGCCCACAGGCCACACATGCCCAGGGATAGCTGTGAACATGGCCCAAGGTGACCTTAAGTAACGGTTCTTAAGACATGAGATTTAGCTAGGTGGTGGGGGACAGAGGCAGACAGACATCTGTGAGTTCGAGGACAGCCTGATCTACAGAGTGAGTTCTAGGATAGTCAAGGCTACACAGAGAAACCCTGTCTTGCAAAACTAAAGGAAAAAGAAAAAGACGTGAGATTTATTTATTTGTGACTCAGTTATTGGTTTTCAGTTGTGAACTTCCTAGGTGATAGTATATTGCAGTGTAAAAAGTTTGGGCATGCCTGAGTCCTCTTTGAAGTCAGTTTGATGCAGACATTATGTTGTATTTGGTGTCCCTCCCCTGCAGCAGGATTCTATTCTATGATCTACAAGATCTTGAGACCATAGTTCTGTTTCTTGACTTTTGAGTTCATGGAGTGAAGATAAAATTCAATTGTTTTTTTTTAAGAAGACTGAAGAAAAAGGAAAGCTTTGGAATAATCTATTTTAGAAATATTTCAATTTTGAATGACTTAAAATAGCTCTAAAATGTGGTTTTCTATCTGGACATCCATAGACAGAAGGCATTTCCTTTCTTTGTGAAAGCAAATGAATTTTGTATCACACCAAAATGACTTTGAGGACAAAAGAATCATGGTTACAATTGGGGAAATAATTGTAAAGGTTGATATGTAAATGATTTATTTTGTGCTTGGTTTTAAATTAACCATTATAGGATGCATTGGAGGTTTTTTTATGATTATATTGCAAACAAAACAAAAGACTAAGAAGGATTAAGTATATAATAAAGGACAGAAAGTTTGGTGTTCATAACAAAGAAACCATCCTGGTAGAAATAGTTCTATTAACTTTCTTAGTGCTTCAGGTAAGTTGAGTAATCTTTCTGGTTTAGGTGTATTCAGCTGGCTGTGGTAAGAGAAAACTCTCCCCATTTGTCTTTCTGAGCTCACTAGTATGTTTTGCTTTGTTCTTTCTTCATCTCTTGCAGTCCCGTTTGTAAGTGTAATGACAGCTTTGCAGTTTCCAAAAGTCATGGAATTCCTTCCAACTCTTCTTCCTCGACACTTTAGAAAGCTTATCAGCTCAAGTTCTGAAGAGGTGTTGCAAAAGATAGAAGAGGCTTTGGGTACACATCCATGGAAGCTTGGGTTCCGAAGAGTGAGTAAGACATTTGTTCAGCCTTTAGTAATCTGGTGTGAGGCAGAATTCTTCAAATCTGGCCATGTTTTAATTTATTTCTGCTGATAATATATGCGGACTTAGTGTCTTGAGTGTCATATGCCCAATATAAATGTCTTAGGTCTATAATTCTCACACAACTATAAAGTCAATAAACAATGAGGTCGATTGATAAACAGAAACCGACGCAGCAAGATGTATGCCATTCAGATTATCACTATTGATTTAATTATGCAATGTGTTATGATATGACATGCTTTTCTGTCGCTCAGTTGTCATTTGTGTCAGTCTCATTGAAGGGTTTTGTTGAGTCCATTTGCTCTGTAGTGCAGGCTCCCATTTCCCAGTGTGACTATTGAAGACTTAAATATTCTCAGGGTACATCTGCTTGCTAACTGGCACAATAACACCGTTTATAAGTAGGCCCATGCTTGTTCTTATTGTCAGAGATGAAGAGTTGAAAGTGGCATTTGAAGGCCTGGATGGTGTTAGAATTAAATGTGGTAGCTATAACACAGTTTCCAAATGAAAACACAACTGATTAAGTTTAACAATCTCCAGTATGAGAATTAAGTGATTACTGTCTCCCAGCCCAGCATGAAAGTAGACATGTTCCTTGATGGCCTTCTCCAGAAAGGCCCTAGATTTAGCGGCAGCAGAGGGAGGTAAGGCAGGAATTAGCTGTGACGTGATCTGTCACCCATTAGGGTTCAGGTCTCTCCTTCCCTCTATGTTAGTCTCTAGGAATCTCATTTGTATCCAGTCTCTTTTCAGCAGGAAGATTCTTTCTTACTTCTGTGTGATAATCTTTCCATCATCAAAGGACACCAATCTTAGAAATTGAAGGCCCATTGTGATGGGGGATGTCCTTCTGTATGCTGTGAATATATGTTTCTCTTATTGGTTGATGAATAAATGCTGATTGGCCAGAAGCCAGGCAGGAAGTATAGGCAGGGCTACCAGACTAGGAGAATTCTGGGAAGAGAAAAGGCAGAGAAGTCACCAGGGAGATGCCATTCAGGTACTGGGAAGGTAGGATGCCCAGCATTCTCCAGTAAGATAAGGCCATGTAGAAATACATAGATTAATAGTTATATATTAATAATTTAGAGATAGCTAATAAGAAGCCTCAGTCATTGACCAAACAGTTTATAATTAATATAAGCCTCTGTGTGTTAATTTGGAACTGAACGTCTGTGGGACAGGACAAGACAGAAACTCTGTCTACACCATTCTAATAGTGTCATTAATGTTATGGTCTTATTCAGCATTCGTGACCTCTTTGAAAGGCACTGCCTCCAAATGTCGTCACATTCTGAGGAAGTGGGATCTTCAGTGTTTGACTTATGAGGGAACACTAGAAAGAGAGGCCTCAGGGTGTATCCATGAAAATAATGGAGCTGAGAGATAACATGGTGACGTACCTCTTGTGTAGTATCTGGGATGAATTATTGGTAGACACATGGAAAACCAAGCAGCCACTCATTTCCCAATACGTGCAAAGACCCCTACAAAAGTGATGTCAATACTTACATATTACCTGATTAACACTGACTTAATTGGACTGATAAATTAAATGTGTGCTACAATTCTGTCTATAGACAAGAAAAGAAGCCTGTGTCAAGATATGGCACAAGCTCTTATAAAGCCTTTTTCCATAGTTGCGATTTAATAATTGTTGTCTTAAAGGATTTTTAAAACGTCAAGGAAAAAGATTAGTGACACTTACAGCGTGGAAGTCCATTCTGGAAGAAGAAACTGTTAGTGATGTTGTCTTTAGGAGGCCTGGGGAAGAATAAATCAGGGGATTCCTGTGTGTGTATTTGTGTGCGTTAAGCCATGTGGCATTGTTTGGCATTGAAAATGTGGTGATTTGAAAATTACATATAACTGCCTAACTTTAAGGCAGTTAAAAAAACCATGAATGCTATACCATATTACCTTTTCTCCAAATTTTAAGGTAACATAGTTACAACTATAGGTATACTACCCATCACCATGTATACTTTATATGAAACATCCTCAACTCTTGTTTTTCTTAAAGGTGACCTACCGGGAGATGAAGCTTTTGTCCTGCGAGGCCAGCTGGACATCATTCAGTCAGTGTCCCTCCCTGTTCCAGCTGATGACTGAGCAGCAGAAGAATGCATTGGTCATATATTCTAAGCTGAGGCAGACATGTAGAGAAGATGGGCACACTTATGTTGAAGTAAAAGACTTGACTTCGGCGGTGTCAGAGCACATGTCTTTCCAAGAAGCGTGTGGGTCTCTGGAGTTTATGAAGGGCCTTGACGTGGTGACCTATGAGAAGGACTGCATCTTTCTTTCTGAACTGTACGAGGCTGAGCAAGGCATTGCCTCCTCCATCTGTGAACTGATGGACAGGCGCCCGTGGCATTTACAAGTGGACGTGAAAAACGTCCTGGCATCAATTTGCAGCGGGGAGCCCAAAGATTCAGGAAGTGCTGAGGCAGCGGAAGGAAATGAACCGGATAACGTGGGGCTAGAACAGGGCGAGAATGTTTCAGACCCACAGGGCAGTGGTGACCATGTTAGCAATAATGGCGGTCATGAAATGGATGCAGAAATAAGTGATGTCCCACTGGATCAAGATCAGGTGGCTGCACTGGAAATGATTTGCGCCAATGCCGTGACGGTTCTCAGCGGGAAAGGTGGCTGCGGGAAGACCACCATTGTTAGCCATCTCTTTAAGCACGTGCAGCAGCTGGAAGAAATTGAAGTGCAACAAGCTTGTGAGGATTTTGAGCAAGACTGGGATGCCTCAGAAGAATGGCTTGCTTTTCCTAAGCAGAGTCCAGCAGCCGTGGACAAGGCTATACAGGTTTTGCTCACGGCGCCTACCGGGAAAGCAGCTGCTTTATTGAGGCAGAAAACCCATCTTCTGGCTTACACGCTGTGTCAGGTAAAACCTTTGACGTCTTTGGGTGTAGATAAAACATTTCCCTAAAGACATCTTTGCTTCTTATTCAGAAGTAACCAGCTTGGAAGTTTTTCTTTCTTTCTGTTTTCGTACTGGAGATGAAACTCGGGGTCTTGTACATGCCAGGCAAGCGTTTTCCTACTGATTTACATTCCCAGGCTCAATAGTTTCTAAGCCCCTCTCCTGACGGGGCTTTTACATTTTTATTGGTTAGTATAGTGCCTCATTCTACCACCTCCCCCCCCACATCCCCTACTTCCACCATGTCAGGCCTTCCCAGGATCCCTGCCTTTACTGCCTGTGTCCTCTGGACTTCGGCTATAGCTGAGCAAAGGGTTTCCCTCGACTGTTTGGACTGCTCAAGATTCCAAAGCTGAGATTCGTATCACTTAATTTTAGCTGATATATAGTCCAGCCTCTTCTCCACTGTCCCCTGAGCCTCTCCTAGCTTCTGTTTGATGAGCACAGGATCCGGATGTTTAAATACCATGTTGGGTACATCCGGCCAGGCCAGTTCCTCTTTCATGACATTGTCTCTAAGCTGTGCTGAAGCTGCTGCCTACCAATGTGAACCGACTCAGCCCTTCCATGCCTGATCCTGGCACACTCCACTTTTCTCTACGGCTTCCTTAGGATCAGCTCAGTCACAGTCAGGGTGAAATCCTCCTGGGAAGGAGGTGCCTGGTGGTTTCAGGCTCTGGAAGACAAATGCGTCTCCCTTTCTGGCTGTCCTGCTGTTAACTCCCAGACACCAGTTTGTGAAGTTGAACTACACGCTGTTGGGAACACTGTGATGCAACCTTACCTTATTCGATCCAGTCTCGCTGAGATGTTCACCTTTCTGCAAGGTACCCATGCTGCACGGGCTACCTGCCCTTTGTCCCTTGATGGCCACTGCTGTCATCAGGTTTTATTTAGGGGAAAGCGCTCCAGATGTACAGGGCAGAGTGTTAGTGTGTAGGGGGTTCAGGGTGACTTTCTGATTGGAATGAAGTCTATGTATTGTAGATAGTAGAAATAAACCCAAAGGCAAGGAGTTTGAGCTTTAACAATGGGAGTTTGCCATTATCTCATTAAATCATCTATATTTAAAAAACAATCATATTATAAATTCTGTTGTCAGCAGGATTGCTGCTGCTAATTTTTGTTTTTGTTTTTGTTTTTTGTTTTTTTGAGACAGGGTTTCTCTGTGGCTCTGGAGGCTGTCCTGGAAGTAGCTCTTATAGATCAGGCTGGTCTCTAACTCACAGAGATCCGCCTGCCTCTGCCTCCTGAGCGCTGGGATTAAAGGCGTGCGCCACCAACGCCTGGCCGCTACTAATGGTTTTATTGCAGTTTCACAGTGTCGTGGTCAGAAGTTTGCAGTACTTGAAAGGAAACTTAATAAGGAGAAAAAGATTGTAATATTTCAGAAAGCCAAGAGGTGTATTGAGAGTGAAAGGAAATAGAGAAATTTCTTCATCTAGAACAGTGGAAGAAGTGGTTTTTTTTGTTTTGTTTGTTTGTTCTTTGCAAGGGAAATTGTGATTAAAACTTATTTATTAAGTTAAACACAAGGCTTACTGGGAAACCATTTTTTTATAGCTTTCTGAGCCTTTTACAGTTTGACATTTTTTAAATTCATCTTTTATTGTTCATTCATCCCTATATATGGTGTGTCCTTCCTGTTTCTTGCCTTTTCCTTATGCTTTTATACTCCTTCCACCTGCCACCTAAGCTTCATTCTTAAAACCGCATGCTTGTTAATCTCTAACCTGATTTTTTTAAATGTATACTTTACTTATAGGTCAATTATAGCTTCTATTTTTGGAGGAAACATAATGAGGGAATGCCATGGAAATTCTCAACAGTTCGAGTCCTGGTTGTGGACGAAGGGAGTTTGGTGTCTGTCGGGATCTTCAAATCAGTATTAAAGATACTGTGTGAGCATGCCAAACTCTCTAAGCTTATAATCCTTGGTAAGTTAAAATACTAGAAGACTCTGCCCATTCAGTTCACAGCATTACCGTTGCCGTGTTGTGGATGTCACTCCAGGCTTTGCCTTGTTGGACGTGGGAAGTGTTTCTCACAGCCCATTTCAAAGCTACTGGGTTAAGTCCGCTGTCCTTACCAGCCTGGGTGGGTCTTCTGGCCAGTGTATCAGCCGGCTAGGATGAATGAGAAGGGGTTCAGTAAGTTACTGCTCACTGTTTGAGTAATGGCTATTAAAATAGTAAAAATGTCAGAGTCAGACTAAATCAGGATATAGACCATTTGGAAATAATAAAAAGTCTGAATTATAGACCACTTTACAGTAATTTTATGATTCTAAGCTAATAATTCAAATTAGGGCTCGCCAGCCTCCTAATCTGATGAGATTCAGTTAGATCCTCTAGAGTTTTAGGGGTCAGTCCATTCTGTGATTGAATTGTAATGGATTGTGTATAAATTGCCATTTATTTTAGGTATTTGGGGACATTTAATAAGCAGATGGTTCTGCTGAAGTCTTTAGCATTCTCCCAGTTGTCACCCCGTATATATGTTTCTTTCCTCTAGAGTTTGCTTTTTTGCATGAGACTAAGATTTTCAGTAGTCTCCAGCACTGACACTTGGTGGCTAGAATTCGTCTGTTTTCACATCGATCCAGCTGATTCACTTTGTGTTCAGTAGGCTTCTTTTATGCAGTTAGCCATGGCTTCCCCGGGTTCCGTAGCACAATGAGCCAGAGTGAATCAGCGATTTTTAAACATATTCTTTTTAAAAGTTGTAAATGTTCCTAGTGGTTTTCCTGGGTTACAGCTATGAAAGAGATCTGTTAAAAAACTTGTCACCTGATTCTATTTTCACGTCACACACAACCTAATTTGGTTAAAAAATACTTAGTATTTATTTGAATGTAGTATTTGAATTGAGAATTCATTTTTGTTGAGGATTCCATACATTGTATTTTGATCACACCCACCCCTCATTCCTTTTTCTAACTCCTCCCAAGATATTTAATATTCCTAAATAATTTTAGATAATGACTTCAGAGACTTTTTTTCCTAAGTTACAAAAACTCCACAATTAGACTCTCCCTCAATTGGCAGGATAAAAATGATTTCCAAATTTTAGAATCCTAGTTGACTAAAATCTTCTTCACGACCCCACCTCTCTTTAGGTGATATTAGACAGTTACCCAGTATCGAACCTGGCAACGTGCTGCAGGATGTTTTTGAGACTCTGAAGTCAAGAGGGTGTGCCATTGAACTAAAGACAAACCACAGGGCAGAGTCCCAGCTGATCGTGGACAATGCTACGAGGTATGAGATAATGAGTTCCTGAGTTTTGTCTCTGTTGTATTAGGAATAAAGGGTTTGTGTGTTTGTTTGTTTGGATCAAAATGATTTAGTACAATCATTTATTGAGTTCTTTTAGTAAACCCGTTCTGTCCCTTTACCATATGCCTCTTGTTGCCGTTAGAAAACCAAAGTTAGCATCTTTCATTACTGGCCCAGCATAAACTATTGTTAACATTTAGGGATGCATGTATTTCTTGACTTTAAAAAAGTACGTGCATCCGGTTCTTTGTATCTGTGGGTTCCATATCTGTGTGTAGAACTAACCAGAGATTAAAATATTTGAAAAAAAATTGTACGTGCTTTGAACATGTACAGATTCTGCACTTCGTTATCACCCTGCGATGATCATTTACATGGCCTTACATTGCATTAGGTATAAGTAATCTAGAGATGACTTAAAATAAGCACGGAGTTGTATGTAGGTTATATGAAACTACCATGTCATTTTTTTCTTCAATACTTTATTTTTATTTTATAAGCATTGGTGTTTTGCCTGCATGCATGTCTGTGTGTGTGAGGGTGTCAGATCTTGGAGTTACAGATAGTTGCTAGCTGCCATGTGGGTGCTGGAAATTGAACCTGGGTCCTCTGGAACAGCAGTCAGTGCTCTGAACCACTGAGCCATCTCATCAGCCCCCTACCATGCCATTTTATATATAGGCTTGAGCATCCGCTTATCCTAGGAAGATTCTGAAATGTAATATGCAGGGATAACTGTTTGGAAATTAAAGTTGGTTAAGCTTGGAGTCTGAAGTAAGCCCAAGGCAACAGAGACTTGGAAATGAGTCTTATATTCAAAGGGGAATTAAAAATGAAATTTCTGTGGGAGGAAGAGCCCAAAGCAAAGTAAATGTAGGATTTGACTCTGAGAGGAGTCCTGATGGCCCCCAAGGCATCTACTCCTTGGTGGAAAAGAGTTCTTTTCCCAGTGTTTTTTTATAAGCTTTTGGGGTTCTTCTCTGGGCTCGGATGTTTGGCTTTTCAGTATTCAGTGTGTAGGAGAACCAAGAATATCACTGTTTTATGACTTTTAAGAAGATACTAAAAGCTGTAGGTGTAATGGGACCATGGGATACCAAGAGATGGTCTTATTCACTGGGTCAAATTTTATCTTTAACTTTTACTCTTTTATGTATTCTGTTTTTGCTATGTGTACATTGGCTTGGTTGTATGCTGTATATAACACTGAAATCTTACAGTATTTGTAGTCTATTATAAAATGAATTGGCTGCTGTATATATCCTGCAAGGTCCTGCAAGGTTACTATCCACTAACAGGTGTGAATTATTGTAAGGGCATTCGGTTTCTTCATACACAAAGCACATTTGTGGGTGGTGATGCTCATATGTATATATATATATATATATATATATATATATATGTATATTATTATACAACACATATATAATATATGTTTATCTTTATTTAAGAATCTCCAGGCGTCAGTTTCCAGAATTTGATGTAGAACTAAGTATCACTGGTAATCCCACATTACCCATCTCCATTCAAGATAAGACATTTATTTTTATCAGACTCCCTGAAGAGGATAGCAGTTCCCAGTCTTCTAAAGGCGAACACCGATCTAGTAAGTGTTGATGTGGGCTTGCATGTAAGTGTTTTAGATTTGTAATATTGTTGTTAAATGCCTAGCTACATATTATTGGATGCTAAAGGTGGGTATGGTTAGTGAAAAATGGAGTACTGGAAATACAGCAACCTAAGAATTGTCAAAACCAGGTGACTCTAGGGCAGTTATTCTCAACCCTCCTAACGCCGCCACCCTTTGATAGTGTTCTCCGCACTGTGCTGATCCCCAGCCATAGCATTATCTTCATTGTTACTTCATAGCTGTGATTTTGCTACTGTTACAAATTGTAATGTAGATATCTGTGTTCTCTGATGGTCTTAGGTCACCCTTGTGAAAGTGTCCCGCGAACCCCAAGGTTGTTGTGACCCACAGGTTGAAAACTACTGCTCTAGAAGTTTGGGAGGGGAGTTCTCGACACAGTGGAACGACCCTCATTAAATACTTGAAGAGTCAAGTCTCTTCAGGAGAAAATAAGTTTTATTTAATGAAATATTCCTTTTACTTTCTTTGAGTACGTTTATGGAACTGCAGTTACTGTTAAACAGATAAACCCACATGTAATTTTGGGTATTCAAATGTCAACCTGTCGGGGTTGAGAAGGAATATGGGATAATGAGTCTTCTCTCTTAAGCACATGACCCAAGTCACTTCAACATGTGTGAAGTAACAGGATTTTGTGCCCGTGGAGCTACAGGGGCATTCATATTAAGAATTGCTACATATGTGCTAATAAATGTCACTAAATTGATTATGGCAAACAATTTTACTTGAATATAGTTGTCTTGGTTGGTTTGGTTAACTTGACACAGACTAGAATCTCAGAGACTCAAGGAACTATCAGCTGAGAAACTGGCCAGATCAATTGGCTTGTGGACATGTTCATGAGGGTTTGTCTTGATGACTCATTGATGTGGGAGGGCCCAGCCCACTGTGTCCACTATGGGTAGCACAATCCCTATGTAGGTAGTTCTGGGCTGCATAAGAAAACTAGCTAAGCAAGAGCCAAGTGAGCTAGCCAAGGATTCTCCACGGTGGCTGCCTCAACATTCCATTTAGCTTCCTGCTCTGAATTCCTCCAGTGATAGAATAAGCCCTATAAGCCAGGTACATTTCCTTCTCTCCCCTAAATTGTTTCTGTTGTCTTATCACAGCAATGGAGAATAGTAGTGAGGTTCTTTTGGCCTTTATTTAGATTTCAAACTAACTTAGCAAACTTTTAGATGAGCATAAGGGTTTACTCGGGCTGGATGAGGAATGATTTAAATGATTCTTCTGGGAACCTGTTGTAGTCGGCACAGTTCTCACTGACAGGCCCCACCCCTGGGCATGGGAGACCTAGTTGACAGGCAGCTTCAGAAACATCCAAGTCTGTCCTCCATTTTGTGCATATCCAATACCATCATTCATTTCAGTTATATACAAATTGGATAATAAGATGTGTATTTTGTGAGCTGGTTTTAATTAAATATGATAGCTAATGTGTATTCACAAACAGTTTAGTTAACATAGGTACCGTTACAAATGAGAAAAGTAGATGCAGGCTCTTTATAGCTTGCTTTCTTTGCGGCTCTGTAGAGTATATCTCAAGCACTGCTTATCTTGGTACTGTTATGTATGTTAAAGGGAATGTACTTTTGTTTGTGTGAGCCAGGGTCTTCTGTAGTCCAGGCTGACTTTGAACTCTGAATTCTCCTGTGCCCACCTTCCTAGTCCTGGGATTGCAGGCCTATGCTGTCACACCCAGCTCAGGACAGTGTTCTCCTAAAAGAAAACCAAGTTGTCCATTTTGGAGTGCTGGCAGAGCTTAGCTGACTGGCCATTTTAATTATAAATCATTGCTGGAAAATTAGCCTCTTACTTCAGAACACTGGGTAAATAAATATTCCTTGGAGAGGCAAATAGCACTTTCTCAATAATAAGTTATTGAGTAAATTCTACCCATTGTCATGAAGTGCAGAGACCCAAGACGGGATCCATAACTGGGCTAGAATTTCAGAGAGGCTAAAATGTGTATTTTAAAATCTGTAAAATGCACAGTGCATGTAGATCTGAGAGTCAGAGAGGAAAATGAGGCACAGATTGGGGGACCTTTGGAAGTTTCTACTCCAGCAAGCCAGGGATGACTGAGGGCAATGCAAGGTCAGCTATTTTCTAGAGAGTAAGATTTCTTCAGTGAAGAAATGAAGGGCTATGTGAGCAGTGGACTTTGTGTTTCTACAGCAGAGCACCACAGTACCGCATGATTCGTCTGCTAGTAGATGATGCACAAAATCCTACAATGTCCAAGCAGTGGTGGAACACACCTTTAATCCAGACACTCGGGAGGCAGAGGCAGGCAGATCTCTGTGAGTTTGAGGCCAGCCTGGTCTACAGAGCGAGTTCCAGGACAGCCTCCAAAACAATACAGAGAAACCCTGTCTCAAACAACAACAACAAAACCAGAAAACAAAAAACAACAAACCACAAAATCCCACAATGTGCCTATCCTCCTGCCCCCCTTTTTTCTTGAGGTAGGGTCTTATATAGCATAGGCTGCTATTGAATTTGCTATATAGCTAAGGCCGTCTTTGAACTCCTTTTCCCCTGTCTTCTCCCCCCCCCAACACTAGCATAACACGCATGTGCCACTATGCCTAGCTCGCTGCACCAAGTTTGGTCCGCCCCCTTTTTTTTAGTTGTTGTTTTATAGATAGGGTCTCATATAGACCAGGCTAGTCTCAATCTCAGTATATATCCAGTTCATGTGGTAAGAAGTCTCAAACCCAGGGTTTCCTGCATGCTAGGCAAACACTCTACTGACCTAAACGGTATCCCTCGCCCACCACTCCAGTTCTTTATTTTCACCTGAGACATGGTAACTTTTTTTTGTACCATTGCTGAAGGATGAGAGGAGGCCCGCTTGTCTGTGGGACAGTGTGAAGGAGTTATAAGTGAATGACATCCCAGTCGGTCCTCTGAGCTGTGAAGGAGATGACCAGCCGCCTGCCCACTTTGGAAAATGACTTCCGTGAGCCTTATTTCCGCACTCAGAGCTGAGTGTAGTAGTGACCACACTATGTAACAGCTGGCAGGGCATGAACACCACGGAGTCCCTACTGCTGCCGCCGGGGCTAAGGCTTTAGTGGCTGAATTATGGGAGGACTGGGCGGGGGAGGAAAGAGAAGGTTGGTTTGAAGGTGGAGCAATGGCGTCTTAGGTCAGTGGCCACTTTAGAGCCACTTTGGAATATCTGAGTGTTGTAAGATGGCGTACACCAACTAAGACTCAGCTGAGTCTGGAAATTCTTTATGATTATATGATATACTGTTTGAGCTTATAGATTTCAAACTCCAGCTGGCTACTACTAGTACCTCAGGGGCTTAAGCCTTTCTCACATTCCTTCTACTGGCGTGGCCCTTGTTGAGGATGACATAGATGTTGCCATGGTGACCTTGTATTTCATGTGGTGAGATGTTTTATGTGGATTGATTAGTAGGAGCTGCTAGCTAATTTTCCCATGGAAATAGCATTATAATTCAGCAGTTTTTTCCTTGTTAACCTTTTTCTCTTTGCCAGATTTATATTCTGCAGTTACAACTTTGCTTCAAGGAAAGGACTTTGAAAGTGCAAAAACATCACAATTTATTGCATTTAGAAGGTAAAAGCATTTATACTGTGTTAATATACTTTATCCAACTTTTAAACTTCTTAACTTTTTAAATGTATATTATATTTAGGGGGAGATAGTTGTAATTTTCCATTGTTAATTCTCAATCTTACTTTGAAATATCTTTTTATTAGCCTTGTCAGAAGGCTTTATGAACAGGGCTGTTTTTTATCCAGGGCATTTATAATCTCACAAGAAATGTGAGTGGAACAAAACTTTATGTGAAGGTAACAATTATAAAAAACTTTTTTCTGGGCGGGTGTGGTGGTGCACACCTTTAATCTCAGCACTTGGGAGGATGAGGCAGGTGGATCTCTGTGAGTTCAAGCCATCTGGGTCTATAGAACTAGTTCCAGGACAGCCAGGGCTACACAGAGAAATTTTGTCTCAATAAAACAACAACAATAAAAAGAAACAAATAAACCAACAACAAAAACAAAACAAAAACCAAAATACTTTTTCCTAGAGAAAGTCCTAGAAACATCTGATAGGATCTACTATAGCTGCACAGGTATGAGTGCTAGCATGCTTGCCTAGAAAGTATAGAGCCCTCAGTTGAATTCCCAGTTTCACAACAACAGTCATTTAAAAACTCCAGTGGCCCAGTATCTGATTGTTGGTAAACATAAGCCAGTGTGTAGCAGGTGTTACTGAAGTGACTCTGGTTTTCATGTGTTTCAGGCAAGATTGTGACCTCATCAATGACTGCTGCTCTAAGCACTACACAGGCCATTTAATTAAGTGAGTACCCCCCTCACTGACACTCCAGGGGACAGTCCTGCCTTGCTTTGCTGTTCTTGCATTTGTATGAATATTTGTCACATAAGGCCTCATACTTAGAAGTCGTACACTTTCTTCCAATTTGTGAAGCATCATGGTCTCTTTGATTAGATGGATTCTAGGTCATTAGGACTTGACTTGGACAGTGAGTAGAATAAGATGAAAAAATAAGGAATGGTCATTTCTCTGTGGCATCCCGGTTGGCAGCTTCCAACTTCTTCAAGATCAACATGGAGAATAGGGAGAATTTCTAATACTATGTCATATTTCCAGAAGCCTGAGGAGCAGGCTGTGTGCAGAGAACACTTGTGAATGACCGAAGGTCAGGGATGTAGCTGAGTAACCATGCTTGCACGTAAGAAAAGTTAATTCATGTGTCTTGTGTTTGCTGGCACATGCTCATCGCTGGGCTTGTGTAAAGCATAGGAACTCCTGTCATAAGAAAACTGTGTTGGGGAGGAAGGTTCAAAGTGTGCTTGGTTGGACCGATGTAATCGTGGTCCTCGTCACTTTGCTCTTGTGAGGTGCTTTTAAAATCTTTCCATTTGTGGAAACGAAGCCGCTTACACAGAAGCCCCTAAAGGGTAGAGTCAGAGCAGAATGAAAGTAACCCTACTGTGCTCTCATAGTGTAATTAAAAGTGGAAATATGGGAAAGTTCTAGTACCTGACATTGCAGAATGTGGGGAGAGGGTGAATTTGCATGAAAAGAATAAGGCTTTTGGTTTAGAACATGGATGGGTCAGAGAAGTTACAACAACGTTTCTAACTGAGAGAGTTCAACGGGGCCATGTCAAGAGGTGACAAGAGCGTAAAATAAACAGGTGACAGTTATGACAGCTTGACTTCTTGACATTTGGAGAATGAAAGTAATGACAAGACGTATACACATCATTTTGTATCAGCTCCGAGTGGAGTTCATATCTAAGTAGAATGAAGTGGAGACTTAAGGGGTTTTGATGATGTGCGATCACTTCTCAATACAGAGACCACAAGAAGAGGCTCGTCTTTAGAGTTGGTGATAAAATCTGTTGTACCCGGAATGCATACCTCTCTGATTTACTCCCTGACAAGGATGAGGAAGCTTTCAGGAAAGGCTTTGATCTTGTCCTTTCTGATGCTGCCCCCTCTGATGCTGCCCCCTCTGATTTCAAAAGCAAGCAGAGTTTTGAAAGTGGCATTCGACTGTGTAACGGGGAAATATTTTTCATAACAAAGGTAAGTCTTAGGAAATAATGTTTGCCAGCTAGAGTTCTTGTTTTTAAAGCCTTGGATTTCATTCCAACCATATCAGAGATGACATTCTTGTTCAGGGTTTCTTCATCAGGGATTTTTATACAACCTCCTTTGGGATGGATATTGGTTTGTAGTTTTATTTATTTAGTTTTTTTCAGTGTCCTTTCTGGATTAATATCAGAATATGATGGAATAGTTAGGAATAGTTAAGCTGGAAAACATTATTTCTAACTTTTTAAAAAAAATTTCAATGAGAAACATAGAAAGGAAACTTCTTTGTAGCACATTGGAAGCTCAAATAACAAAAGACAAGGCAAGCAGACAGCCATCCTTAGATGTAACTTCAATGTGGAAACGTTAGTAACTGCCTGTTCCTGTGTAGACTCCCCTCCCATACTTAAAACATTCTGGAAGGGCTATGTGGGGAAAGAGTGTGTGAGGTTCCAGGGACCGGACATTTCTATGTCTGCTCTTTGAATTACTAAAATGTGGAGCTGTACAATTAAGGATGGATTTTAAACCTTTTCAAGTTCGTTTGCTGCTCCACTCTGGGTATCAAGCCCAGAGCCTCACAAGTACTGTTCACATACACTGCATCTACAGTTTCAGCCCCGAGCACCTGGAAGGTAATTTGATGTATAACGCTTGTATTTCGTGTTGCACCCCCAAGATAGAATATCTTCATCACGTGTGTGCTTGAATGTGTGCAAAGTTTTCTTTGTCTTGGTCCCAGGATGTAACTGATGTCACTTTCAAAAGAAAACGACTTTTGACGATCAATAACGAGGCTGGCTTGGAAGTGACTGTGGACTTTGGCAAACTCATGACGAACTGTCAGATAAAGCACGCCTGGGCTAGGACTATTCATACTTTCCAGGTGAGAGAGGATGTTTACAAAGTTATTTGAATACCTGCTTGTATTAGAAAGTCTTGTCATCCATATGACAAAATGCCTGGGAAACGTGGTTTTAGGAAGAGTGTTTGGGCTCATAGTCCGAGGGTATGGGCCCTCATGGCAGGTAAGGCATAGAGGCAGGCACGTGAGACAGTTGGTCACATGGCATCAATAGTCAGGGGGCAGAGAGAGATGGATGCTGACTACTCAGCTCTGTCTCCTTTTTATTCAATCTGGGACCCCAGCCCATTGAATGAATGCCACCCTATTTAGAGTGTGTCTTCCCACTTTAGTGAGTGCACAAATGTTCAGAGATACATCTTCCAGGTGACTCATGACCCCATCAGGTTGACAGAGTTAACCACAACACGATGGACCTCACATTGTTTTCTTTTTAGTTTCTTTTTCTGTTACTAATTTTATTTTTCTGTGCTGTCCCAGTTTCCATCTTGTCATTTTGCTTTGGTTTCTGAGAGCTGCTTTCCAATGTAGGACATGCACGTGACAGGTCACTGAGCTTCCTTCCTGTAGCCCAGTGAGCCGTCTTCCCAGCCTTGTGCCTGAGCCCACGGCACTGAGTTGCTGTGCTAAGTCTTCCCACTGTTTTCACTTCCCAGGGGTCGGAGGAGAGCACAGTTGCCTATGTAGTGGGGAAGGCAGGCCGCCAGCACTGGCAGCATGTGTACACCGCAGTGACCAGGGGCCGCTCCAGAGTGTATGTCATCGCCAAAGAATCCGAGCTCAGGAGCGCCATCCGGAAGCGCAGCTTCCCCAGGAAGACGCGTCTGAAGCACTTCTTGCAGAAGCAGCTCCTCTCCAGCGCCCACGCATCTCCCACTGGCATTCTATCCCAGCCTGCAAGCCCTAGAGCTGGAGAAAGACCCAGCACACAGCCTCCAGTCTCACCCTTCTGTAGAACCCCAGACAAGAGAGCTACTCCAAACAATGCCAGGGGTGAAGCATCTTCAGCCACCAAGGAGACGTTTGCCCTTTATGAAGGATGGCTGTCAACTTCTTTTAGCGACATAGATACAGACGAGGAGTCAGGGCAGCCTAGAGGGTCCAAAAGAACTGGTGATGGCTTCCCATTTGATGAAGAAAGCCCCAGTAAATTCCGTTTGGTAAGAGCCATGTTCCCTTCTGTTCAAGTTTTCTTTAAATCTTGCCCTCTGCAGTTGCCGGGGCAGAACTGTGCATTTCCTTTAGGGTACCACTGCGTCGTCGGGATCCCAAGATACCTGGTGTCTGACCTATTGCAGAGCTGCCCTTCTGTGCCCACCTAGCTCTTTTCTCATCCGTCCCGAGGCTGCTACTCTAGGCAGCTTCCATTGATTGGTGGATGGATGGTGACCCATCATGATCCATGAGGAAGCCTTCCACTCTGTACCTGCCTTCTTCCTTGTCAGTTACCTCTAGCTTTGCAGGCCATAATCACTCTATCTCTGTAGTGGCCTGAGGGTGTGGCTTCAGTGTGTGGATGTGATTGGCTGAACAAGATGCCACTACAGTATCTCCCCAGCCCCCTTGTACTGATTGGTTTATCTGGAGGCTTCCTTAGGTCTTGCCCTTTGCCCTTACTTTGGCAATTAGTAGTTTTACTATTGTTTCTGGTTCACTGTCTCTCTTCGTTCACGTGGCCTTAATCTAGTCTGATGTGAGACGTGCCTTTGCAGTGCCATTCCGTTCCTCACTGCTTTTCTCCCGTACATCCCCTACTTGGGACTCCTCCCGAGGCCTTGAAGACACACTGTATTCTCTTCATTTCAGCCATCCCCTTTGCCTTAGTGTTTAAGTGGCTGCCGTGATGCAGGTGCTGGGAACTGTGGGTAAGCAAGGAGTGACTTTTTTACGCTTGCGTGGACTGTAGGCAAGTTAGGAAGTAACTTGACAACTCACTGAAGATCGTCCAGGAACCAATTCTGTCATGAGTCTTTGTTCCTGGAAATAGCCATTCTGGAACCATAGCCTAACACCTTTCTCTGGTTCCCATTTCAACTCCCTTTCTCCTAGTGTGACAGCTTGAAGTCCTGTAGTCACATTATACTCATCATGTCTCCTCTCTGCCTGTAGGGAGGTAGCTTTCTTGAGAAATGTCCTGCTCCGGGATTTTTCCCCCCACTCTGCCTAGGCATAGGTCCTTTTCTCACTGGAGGATGAACGGATTTCCTATTCCCGTTGTCTTCTTGCCGTACTCCTCATATACTCCATTCCTCTAGGTAAAGTCTCACTTGTGCCTTAAGTGGGCTTTTGAGACTTCTCAGTCTAGACTAGCTCCCCCTGTGCCATGAAATTCCCCACTGTCAACTTTTGGCTTCAGTCAATCTACTGTTTTTGTTTACCAATTCACTAAGGGAAACAATTTTTTTTTCTCATCTCTTTTTTGACTTTTTATATTTTTGGAGAGGTAGCTGTCAACAGGGTGACTAGATGGGAGAAGGCGAAGGGAATACTCCCAAAGGATTCCCTGCTTTCTGGCTGAAACTTTTTGGGAAATAGCAAAGCCATTTACTGGGATGAAAAAGACACAAGAAGACCTCATTTGAGGAGATAACGTGTCTTCCTCCAACTTAGAGATGAGGGGTTCTAAATGACTTCTGTGGTTTCAAGAGACGCTTACCTGTTGATTTAAGCACCTGCCACAGATTTGCTAGGTGGAGAGCACGTGCTGATGAGCCTGGGTTCTAAGGGGTGATACTCATGCACAGTGTCTGAAGAAGTTGCAGGGCACACATATCATGGGTTCTCAAATAAGAGTCTGTGTGACACAGAGTTCAACTGTGAGTGGTAGGTCTGCAGACACAGAGTGCTCAGGAGGGATGGACCTTTTAAAGAGACTGTCCATTCTGATTGGTGTGGAGATCCCTAGGAACACTGTAAGTGCCTGTGAATTGAAATTCAATGAGGTGATCTTGACTTTGGTGTAACTGATAGTGATTAGGGGGGAAACTAAGTTCCTGGCATGAAGAAACCCGTGGGTACAGTGATTTGTCTAAAAGTCAGGTGCTTACACAGGGAAGGAGGAGATGCTAAGGGCTGAGCTGATGGGTCCTAAAAATGAGTTAGGTGCAGTGGAGATTGGGTCTAGAATGGCACACATGTGTTTGGCCTGGGCATAGGGTGGATCCAGATACCATTAATAAGAATTAATAAAAAGTGTAAGTGACAAGTTTTGTGGGGAAATGGACTGTCCTTTTTCTTCCATGGCAACAGAAGAATCCATGGTGAGTCTAAGCCTCCTTCTACACCCCAGTACAGATATGACATTTGATATGGCATTTCCAACTTAGTGTGACAGCTCGCCCTCCCCCCCCCCCCCCCCCCCAGAAAAGTAAGCTTGCAAAGGCCCTGAAGCTAGGCTTTTGACCAGATCAGTAAAGGGACAATTGTAAAGAAAGAGCCTTCAGAAAAAGCTTCTTGAGTTATATTTCTTCTCATCAACAGTGGGTGGGGGTTATGCTTCCGTGTGGTGGTACAAAGAGCAAGTGGCAGTGTTTGTGGCCCAGCCCCAGTCCTGAGCCTGCTGGAGCCCTCCTGCATCCACCGAGGCCGGCATTGCAGATCTGTGGACGTAAGAGTGGAGTTGGGGCTGTGTGCTGGCTCACGTCCTGGCACGGTGACATCAGCCTTAAGTTCGTTCGTGGAAGGGGACGATGTTCTTTCTCACAGGCTTTGCCAAAAGTATACAGCGTCTACAGGAATCCCTGTAAACGAGGAAACAGAATTCAGAACGTTAGGACTGGTAAATTAGAGACTTCTCTGTTTCTATAACTCTAGATGAATGTGTGATTTTTGCAAGAAAAATCCAGTGGCAGGGGCTATCCATGTGTCCTTCCGTCAGATAAATTCACGTTTCTTCCCATGAGGCACACCAGCATTTAAATTCATTTTGGGAAACGCCTCCTTAGGCAGCCACTCTGCTGTTGTGCAAATACCGTCCGTGTGTGTTCAAAACCAACATAGACGGTTACGGCTACGGTGGCCTGTTGGTGCAATAGGAGACACACTAAGACTGAGTTGTGTGAGGCTGCTTCACATGCCCTTTTACAGCGTGGAAAAAAAGTATGTGGGTCACACTCTGAATCAGTGGCTCTCAACCCTCCTAATGCTGTTGTCCTGACCCTCCCCACAACCATAAAATTATTTCCGTTGCTACTTCATAGCTGTAATTGCTGCTATTATGAATCATAATGTAAATATCTGTACTTTCTGATGGTCTTAGGCGACCCCTGTGAAAGAGTTGGTTGACCCTCAAAAGGGTCGTGACCCATGGGTTGAGAACTACTTCTCTAAATTAATGATAAAAATCATAATAAATGCATCAGTTAGAAGCATAGCCACTGACTAGTGTTATATACTGGCCACATTAGCAGCATAGTCACTGTCTAGTGTCATTTCTGGCCTCATTAGCAGGTCTATATCGCCAACCCCACAGGTTCACGGCTACTGCACTGCACTAGGCAATAGGAAAATTTCAGTTCCCTTTTGACCTTAGGGGACTATTATTATATTATTGCAGTTTATCATTGGCCCAAAAATGTCATTACGGTATAGGTGACACTACTGATGGCTGAACCCCTCCTTTCATGCTTCCTGGTGTATCAACAGCTTTGGGTTTTGAAAAATTCCTGAGTCGGCTTTGAAAGTAGAAAATGAAAAGAATACATTTGTGGTTTTTGATACAACTATCTGAGTGAACACTGCTAAATTTGTCAAATAAGACAATTACTTCCAGAAAATATATTTCTACAAAATTCACATTATAGTATAAAAAGCAAGCTAGATAAGACAATCATAATAGCCCAGTGAAGGCCAGCCCCTGTGTTAGTCAAAGTTCTTCGGGAAACAGAGCCATATGTATGCATGGTCTGTCTGTGGATCTGAGTGTCTGTCCCAGTAGTCTGCATTGGAAGGAACCTGCTCAAGCGGTTACGGAGACCCACAAGTGGGCACTTTGTAGAATCGAGTGTAGACGGTGCTGCCGCTTGAGTCTGAAAACTGACAGCTACAGGTCTTCCTTGAGAGTTTTTTCCTGTTAACACTTTCAGATGGCTGGATGAGGTCCACCCACTTCACAGAGGGTGATCCGTGCATCAGAGTTCACTGCTTACATATTCGTTTAGCTCTGCCTTTGTGAGAGTGCCTAGAATAATGTGTGACTAAGTCCAGGTTCCAGAAGTTCAGAAGTTGGCACAAGTGATTGACGAATCACACCCAGTCTCTAAAATGTACAGCTATAGCATTGTGGAGATGAGTTGTATTTCTTCCTCTTTTTTCTATGGTATTGAAAATGTGACAGCCACACTGGCCTGGTGGCTGCTGCTGGGGTGTCACGAGAAGCGTGAAGAGTGTGAGCCTGGCACTGCCGTGCTTCCATGTATCACATAGGAGCTGTCATCGTGGGTGTGCAACCTGGCAGCCATGCAGGACTGTGTGCTTAGGACTCGTTTTCATCTTGAAATTCTTAATGTTTGCACAGTGAACCTTCTCAGTAATTCTGTGCCTTGTTTCCATATTATGTAGTAAGCCCCATCCCTTTCTTTTAGAAGGTAGATGCCTATATTTAGACTGCACAGTTACTTTTCCATGACAGGCCCTTAGCTCTAGGTACAGGGGATGCCACAGGAGACAGGCACAGATATGATCCTCCAAGGAGCAGATAGCACACCCATTGGTGGGATGCTCAAGCCTTTAAGGATTGTGAGAAATGCATTATTTCTTCAGGGGGAATGGAAGTGCATACGGTAGGCCAGGTATGTTTTTATAAAATTAACTTTATTTTTATTTTCAAACAGGTTGAAGAATCATCTCCACAAGTGTCTTCTAGATTTCAGAATTTGAGGTTGAGTAACCTAACCCCTCGACAACTTTTCAAACCCACTGACAATCAAGAAACGATTAAGTCAGGTGTGGTGGGTCACACCGATAATCCCAGCAATCAGGAAGCTGACACAGGAGGATCTTGAGTTCCAGGCCAGCCTGGGTAACAGGAGGAGCCTGAGTCCCAGGCTAACCTGGGCAACATCATGAGACCATGTACAGGCACCACCACCAATGAAAACCTCCAAACAGAAAGAATTTTACTTTGTATTGCTCAAAGTAATTATTTTTCCTGGGTGCTGGAGAGATGGCTCAGTGATTAAGAGCACTGGCTGTTCCTCTAGAGGTTCTGAGTTCAATTCCCAGCAACCACATGGTGGCTCACAGTCATCTATAACAGGATCAAATGCTCTCTTCTGTCATTTCCCTTCAAGACAAAGTAGACATTTTAGCTTCAATGTTCCAAGCTATGAGAAGATGATTTGTAAACTGGAATTTTAGATTGGGGCATTGTATTTTGGGCATTTTTACTTGTATTTTTAAATCTGCATTTTAAAACTTATTATAAATTTACCCGATCAAAGCAAACTGTGCAATCTCATCCTCTGTCCTCAAGACAACAGTTAACACCGGACAGAGATTGTGGGGAAAGATGCCGTGTGCTTAGAACTCTCCCATTTTAGGGGTGTGGTACATTTTGTGATAATGCTGCGTGACCTGAAGCAGTAGCAAAGGTGGGGTGACCTGTTGCTAGCCACTCATTCAGGGGTGCTATGTTTACCACAAGGGGGTCCTTTACAAGGCCTTCTCTCACTCCAGCCCTGCTCCTGGGACCCAGCATTCTTAGGACTTTCCTTAGCTGTGCCTTTTCCTAGTTGGGAGTAAGTCTTGAATATATCCCATTGTAGGAGACCTTTCTCTTAAAGCAGATTGTTTTTTTTTTTTTTAAGTATTTATTGCCAAGTGGTACTGTCGTTTGAATGTGTCTCCCCACACACGTGTGGGTTGTACTGTGGTAGTGGGTACCTGCTAAAAGTCACTTTTTGCTGTCATGAGTTTTTTTTTAATTTTATATTTTATATTTTTTATTCTTTTTGCCATGCGATGGCAAGTCCTCCTTAGATGTGCACACCTGGCTATAGGCACTCCTTGTCTTACACATTGCTTTATTGCAATTCTCAGATAGTATGTTACTTTTACATTGCCACTCTCCTAGAGCTCAGGCCATAGAAATTTCTGGCAACAAAGTATTTTAGTTAATGTGTGCACATTGCTTCATTTTTACATAATCTGTTGTGTTTTCCTGTTAAGACTGCCAGGATAACACAGAGACATTTTTCTTTCTTTTCTTTTTCTTTTTGGGCTGGGGCTTGAGCCCAGGACTCATACATTCTAAGCAAGTACTTTACTACTGAATTGCATCTCTAGCCCTAAACCTAGCTTTTATATGAGAAGCAAGCAAACAAAGCAATTGTGTGACTCATCTGAATGTAATATTCTCTTATTGCTGTGCCATGATGGGTTCTAATCTGCCGTGTCTCCAAGACACGCCTTTGTGAGCAATAAATGCACTATTCTATTTACTAAGTTGTCCAGTCTGTGATTTTTTACTTATAATAACACAAGGAACTAAGACCAATGGTAAAATAAAAAGCTAAGTACTCATTAACTTAATGTTTTTAATAGTGTTGTGAAAAAATTCTATGCAATTTATCCACTTAACTAATATAATTCAGTAGATTTTAGTATAGTGAAAAAATTGTAAAACTTGACACTATAATCAATTTTAGGGTATTCTTATAACCCCCTAAGCCTACACCCTACTAGGCATAATCTACTCATTTACTCTAGCTAATTGATTTTCTTTGTAGATTTGGCTATAATGCACAGTTCCTATAAGTGAAGCCATACAGTATGAAGTCCTTTGGAACTTATTTCCTGAACAATGCTATTCAGATTTCACCCACATTTTGTCAGTTAATATGTTGGTTATTGGAGTCACTCATTACTAAATAATATTGAATTTATCCATCCATTAGTGGATTGACAGGTTGGTTTCTACTCTGGCTGTTATGCTTAATACTACTCTGAACACTTGTGTTAACATTTTTGTGTATAGATACATATTTTCATTTCTTTGGGTTATGTCACTAGGTAGAATTGTTGGGTTATATAAGTCTGTCTTTAGACTCTTAAGCAGTTAGCATTTTATGTTGTCAACAGTAGTTACGAGTATCCCAATTTCTCCAGTATTGTGTGTGTGAATGGGTGTGTGTGTAGGTGTGTGAGAGCTGAGTGTATGGTGTATATATATGGTCTGTGTGTACCTCTGTGTGTGCATGGGGCAGGATGCATGCATCTCTGAACATGAAGAAGGATGTTGAGTGTTTTACTCCATCACTACCTTAATCCCTTTAGACAAGGAACAGCTTTCATGTATTCACTGGCCTTTTGTGTGTCTTTGGAGAATAATCTATTCCTATCTTCTGACTTTTACATTAGGTTAGCATCAAAATCTTAGATTTACTTATACTACATATACTACATATAAATCACATACATACATACACATGTACATATACATACATAAATGATTCATATTTTTTCTCTCATTCCATGAAGTTTTATGTTGAAGGACTTATTTTTAATTCCAGTAATGTCCATTTCTGATATTACTGCTTGTGATCTTTTTGTTTTGATGTTACAGCCAACAAACCATGGCCTGTCTGAAGCCATGCATGAAGACTTATTTCTACATTTTTCTTCTAAGCGCCTAACAGTTTTTGGACTCCTCTGTTGATGTTAGATTAACTTTCAAGTAGCCTTTGCATAAGGTGTGAGGAAGGGGTCTGCCTCACTCTTATTCAATTGTCTGCGCTCCATTTCCTGAAGAGATTGTCCTTTCCCCCATGGAGTTGTCTCTGCATCCATGTCAAAACTCCGTTGCCTATGTGAGAGTGTGTTTATAGCTTCTTTGTCAATCCCACAGGCCTGTGTGTTGATCTGTGTGCCAATACCATATGCTGTCTTCATGACTGTAGTACTGTAAGGTCTGAAATCAAACACAAGCCCTCTAACTTGCTGTTCTCTGTCAACATTGTTTTGTTAGGGTCCCTTGGGGTTTTGTTGTTTTTTCTTTTTAAGATATGCCCTTACCCTGTAGCCTTGTTTGGCTTGGAACTTGCTATGTAGACTAGGTTGGCCTCCAGGTCAGAGAGGTCTTCCTGCTTCTGCCTTGAGAATACTGGGTTTAAAGGCATTAGCCATTGTGACTTGGATTCCCTGCATTTCCATATGAATTTTAGCTTCCAGTTTTTGTGAAGGAGTCAGCTGGAAATCTGGTGGGGATTTGACTTCAGAAACATTTCTAGGGCTGCAAATTGACCTCATTTTAAAATCGAGTCTTAGGATCTACAAGGACGGTCTTTCTTTTATGTCAAGTGTCCTCTTTGTAGGTTTAGAGTGTTCCGTCTTGTATTTCTACATTTAGTTAAGTTTACTTTTAAAGCTGTATTCTTTTTGATATTATTAAATTGAAATCATTTCCTTGTATGTTTTTGTCTGTGTGCAAGTGTGCGTGCACATGTCCACAAGGAGGAGGCCAGAGATCAGCCTCAGGTATCCCTCGGGGGTCATCCACCTTGTTTTTGAGAAAGGATTTATTTGTTACCTGAAAAATTGTTTTTCCAGCTGTCCAGTAAGCCCCGGGATTGGCGTGTCTCAGACTCCCCAGCAGTGAGATGACAAACATGATTCTAGCTGGGCTCTAGAACATAACTCCAGGGGGCATCATGTTTGCATGACAAGCATTTCACTATGTTGTCTCCTCAGTCCTTGTCTTAAATTTTGGTTGGTTCCTTGTCACTGTATAGAAGCAAATGTTTTTTGTGTACTGGTCTTGCCAAGCTGGTTGATTTCAGTAGGTTTTTGGTGGATTCCTCTGGGTTTTCTGTCTAAGACCGTATCATCTAAAAGCAGGTGTGGTTTTAATTCTTTCTTTCCAGTCTGGATGCATTTTATGTTGATAGGTTGCCTTAGCACCCTGTGTACACTGTCCAAGTACACTGTCGTAGAGATGCCAAGAATGTGCACCCTTGCTGTGTTCCTGACATTAAGGCGTATTGGTTGGCTGTCATGGTAATGAATCAAGAAGCCATTACTTTATCAAGACAAAGTTCATTTTGACTCCCAGTTCTGACATCTCTGTAACTCCAGTGAGTGTCTGTAGTGCATCATGGCAGATGTGTGTCGAAGTGCGAACTCCTCTCCTTATGAACCAGGAATCAAGGGAGAAACTAGGCAGGACGGAGCCCCACAATTAATCACTGAAAGACACTCCCAAAGCCTGATATCCTAAAGGTCCATAGCACTTTCCAGTTAGGATCACCCTGGGGACCAAGTCTTAAACACACAGTCCTTGGATGAGGGAGTGTATTCAGCATCCAAATAGCATTGGAGGAAGAATTAAATCTTTTACCAGAGGGCATTTATTTTTTTTTCCCATACTCTTTAAGGCCAGGATTTCTCTTTGTTGCTAGTTCATTGTTATGTTTTTACTGTGAAGGGAATTTTGTCAGTTTTTTTTTGTTCCTATTGTGGTGACAATATAGTCTTAGCCTTTGTTACACAGCTATGGTGTAAAGTACTGATTGTGTGTTTTGGAAGTTAAACCTAAGAGACTCTCCAGGATACAAGAGAAGAGAAAAGCTACTGCTGGTTCAGTTTGCAGTGTCCTGCTGGGGATTTTGCTACCTATAATCATAGGAGACGAGAGTCTGTGATTTCCTTTGTCTGATTTTTAACATCAGGGTATACTGGCCATGTAGAACAAGTTGAGGAATATTCCATACTCTTCTAGTTTATGAAGAATTGGTGCTTATTTTTCTTGAAATGTTTGGGGGGAATTCATAAGTGAAACTATTGGGATTTGGGCTTTTCTTAGTAGAAAGTTTCAAAACTCGTGATCTCACCCCCTTGTAACTGTAGGTCTAGATTGCTATTCCAGACTTTCTACTTCATATCCAGGTCTGTTTGTGTTTAGGAGCCTCAATTTCGAGAGTTCGAATCTTGACCAGTTTGTCTAAGTCATCTGACACTTAACCGGTTATCAAGACAGCCCTCTATAGCCTGCTATTTCTGTAAGACTTGGCTTGGCTTTCACTCCTGATTTCAATAACCAGAGAGACCCTTCTCCCTCTAATAGTTTATGAAATTTGTTGCTATTTGTGAAGACTTATTTTTATTATATTCAATCGCATGCATGTGTGTATGCGTGTGTGTGTGTGTGTGTGTGTGTGTGTGTGTGTGTCTAGTGTGGGAATATTCGTGTGAGTATAGATGCCTGAGGAGGCCAGAGGCATTGTATCCCCTATGATAGTTGTGAGCTGCCTGACCTGGGTGTTGGGAACTTTTGCAAGTGCAATATGTACTCTTAACTGCTGAACCATCTCTCCAGCTCCTGTAATGATATTTGTAAAGTTCCACAGATGGCTCTCTGTCGCTTTTATCATGGAGAGTTTGTTGATTTTCACTTGTATTCTCATTTATCCTAGGAAAGGCCATTAAGGAGGGCTGCATTCTGGCTGACATGGTTAGTCAGCATTCAGGGGTCTTGGGAAAGACAGTTTGATATTCTTTCAGATTGCCCAGCCTCATCATTTGGGAACAGTTTAGGAGTAACTAATTGGCATTGCTGTGGGAGTGGTAGAGCCTGTGCCTTGTTAGCTATCAAGTTACGTGGAAAGGATGGTTCCTGGTTATGAACATTTTCTGGAGCACAGGAGTTGGTGGGCACAGAGGAGGGAATGGTAACTACCAAACTAGTAGATAGAAACCATCTTCAACTATAGCTGTATTCAAGAGTACAGCTTTAATGTCATCAATACACTATTAAGTTAGCCTGTCTTCCTTAGGACACAATAAACAAATTATATGTCACTGTGTCTCAACATAGCTTCTGGCTAGCCTAGAAGTCCCACTGTAGATCACAGAGATCTCTGTGTCCCAGAGTGCTGGGCCTAAGGGCCTGTTCCTGCACACCTGGCAGGGACTAGCTTTTATATGATGATTGTACTGTGGGGTCAAAATACAAATAATTGCCCTAATTCCATATTCTGGCAGCTGTCATTGGAAGAGAGCATGTCTAGGAACCTAAATTTGGGATGTGAAGCAAATGGTGTTTCCTCGAAGAGTATTACGACCGAAGGGTTTCATAACATGACTGAGTACCTGGCTAGATGCCACCGGTAGCCAAAGTGACACACGCTTTACATGCTGTCCTCCCTGGATGGCCACAATCAGCGTATGACACTCAAGCTAGTCACTGTATTTGAAAACTACTACCTGAGATTTTTTAGCTCTATTTTCATTTTTTTAATAACAGCTGTTTTTCTATTGATTCATTTTAGTTTTGGTTCTACTTAATCTCAGTCTCTCATATGAGGCCATTTCTCACTTGTTTTAATTGACAGGGTTGGCTCTAACCACACTTCCTGTCCTTGGCTTTCACCTCAGTTATTGTACAGACCTTATGATGTGCCATAAACAGTATGGTCAAAATATGCAGAGTTGTTTGGGTTCTACA